CCCTCTCTCTCTCTCTCTCTCTCTCTCCTGCTCATCACACCAAAGGTGTGTAATACAATATAGTTTGGAGAGGTAAATTCACTCCCACAGGAATCCTTATTTGATATATTGTACTTTTTCATGTGAGTAATGGAGGATTTGACTCAATTTCAAAAAATAAATGGGTGTACGTGGTAAATGAAGCGTGAACTAAAAAGCTAGGAAGCACTACTGGACAGTTGTTTCGACCTGGTTAGGTCTGATCAACACAATGCAAATCCATCGACCCGACTGGAGATCGAACCCGTGAGCTTCATTATTCACATAAAATAAGTAGCCAAGTTGTGATTGTTTCCGACCGATTCATAACCCCGAAGGCTAGTGCTGAGATGAGCGAGGTCTGTGGCCTGCAACAAGGTCGCATAGATAGGTTGTGCCATATTGTGTATTTGGAAAAAGAAAAACGGTCTGAACAGCTGTCTACTGGTGGTCGAGTGGATAGCATGCTTGCGTTCTGTCTGTGAACTCCCTGTTTTGATCCGACCCAGTTGGGTCGATGAATTCACTTTGCTATCGAGACCCAACCAGGTCGAAACAGCTGTGCAGTGCTTCCTAGCTTCTCAGTTCATGCTTCATCTGCCATATACATGACGAATTTCTCCTTTGATATTGTACTTTCTTTGAGGTCGTACCTCGTGACTATCGGCACCAGGTGGGTGCTGCCTGAATCCCAGACTAGCTGACCTCGTTGATCACCTAACGAAATATAAAAAAACATTCTACTGATCACTTTGCAGCTGCATAAGTGCAAGAAGCGTTTTCGGTTTCCAGAGTACAAATCTCTGTCTGTTCTTTGCCGCTTTTAACAATGATCGTAAGTGGGACTTTCTTTTCATCCATGCGAGTAACGAGCGGATTGATGAGGCATCCGTTTGACCAATGATAGTTGAATATTCTACGCCCATAAACACTGCACTTCCATCCCGGTGGGACAAATGGTGATGCTTGTCAAACTGTCCACCATCCTCCGAGGTGATTGAATACAGTATCGGATTGAACAGACGGTTTACATCGCAAAGGAAATCCATTCAACCAATGCTCTTGAACCTATTTGCGGATGCGTGCAAATGTGATGCGGTTCGAACGGTTCACTGACTGCATCTGAATCCAGGCCACGATCATACTCTGTCACTAATCTATTCA